AAACTATATATAAAAATAAATGTTCCCAAGTATTTTCCCAATGGATTTAAAAAAAATTCATACATTTTTTCGTGTAGGTATATTTTTTCTTTATAACCATTTTCAGTATTATTAACCATATCTTTCCAAGTTAAATGTAATGTTTATATGGTATAAGCAACAATTACAAATACACCATAGTATTTGCGGACAACTTAGATGACCCACAAGTTCTTATGAACAAAATCACGTATTGCAGTCAACAATATGCAACTCTAAATATCTTACACTTTACACAACCTCTTAAAGTGGCTTTTTTCCACCCTCGTAAGCAAACTTGAAGGTCCATCCTTCTAAAATAAAACCAAATATCAGGAAGAAGTGTGAAGCGGTTTTGCCAAAAAATTGATTTCCAAGTCTTCTTAAAGAACTATATGCCACTAAAAGAAATTATTTTTTTTATTAGAAAAAGATGTCGCATCCACCCAAAGGTTATTAGCGACGGAACAAATTATAAAAAACAAAGTTAAACACCTACGTATTGTACAAAATGTTTATGGATCTAAGATAATTCACTATATTGTTACAGGAACAGTTTTGACCTAGAGCCTGTAGTAGAGCGTTTTGGATCTTGTAGCGCTGTCTTTCTTGGTCATATTTACTAAAATTTGTTAAAAAATGCTCGACTGTTAGTCGGACGTTACACTGATCACATATAGGTGGATTTTTCTTTGTGAAAAGGTAGGAGTACGTTAATCTGGTATGTTCTAGGGGTAAACGCGCAACCGCAATTTGTTCTCGTCTATTGAGCGACGATGGAAACCACTGAGACACATTATTTTTGATTTTATTTAGATTGGAATTAGTTTGGGACCACTCATTTTACCACAAACACCACACTTTATTTTTAAAATAAACTTCTAAGTCACTGGAAACACACTTGTCTATCGGCTTTGACAAATCACTTAAAATTGCCTCTCGTGCAGTCCTGTCAGCTTCTTGATTTCCTGTTATTCCGACGTGTGAGGGAACCCATAAAAATTGGACGCTTCTTCCATGTTCATAAGAAATAATAATATCTGGAGAATATTTGGATAAAAGAAGCTGTAGCATAGGGAGACGATAAAAAAATCCATCAATGTTCCATTGAAGTATCGAGTTGAATGTTGTTAACAGATTTGGAGTTAGATGATACTGAACAATTGTCTACAGAAGAGTCACTATCTAAGTCAGAAATCTCTTTCTCTAAATGGTTGTATAGTTTCTTTTGAAGTTTTGTAAACTTGCTTTTTGTAGATCTATCATTTGCATATTGATAGCTGCTTTGTAAAAGATGGAGTAAACCATCCATATCAGTTGTAAATTCTTTGACGACGCTAATAGTGTCGGAGGAGCCTTGGACATTATCAATCAGTAAGGTCAATTGGTGGTAATTTAAAACGAATGGTGGGGTATGATTATCAATGAAATTTTCAAGAGTTTCCCGTGTAGATGGGACTTTAGATGAGCGCCGTTTTTTTTTGGTTTAGAGGGTTTGGGTTTTGCAAACAGATTTTCTGATGAAATTACTGAGTCTGAAGGAGGCGTGACGATCTCACCAATACTGCGTTTTATGGAAGAACTTGTGTTTTCGTAATTGCTATTAGAGTTTTCACTTAGATGCTGTGGCTTTATTACATTTGGAAGTACTGGAGCAAACTCCTTGGTAGTGACAGAACTCGACCTTGAAGTTTTATTTGTAAGATTGGTTGAAATGGTTGTTTCAGAAAATTGTCTTGATGTATCAGTTTTATTAGAATTTTCTGCAGATGTATCTAATGAAAAAGGAGCTGATAGATTGGAGGATATTGCTTCCGAAGTTTGTGAAAACGGTATTGCTACTGAATGAGGTTGATTGAAAATGTTGTTATGAGTAGGAGCGTTAGTAATTTCTTTGTCATGGAGATTTGTAGGTGTAGGTGATATGCTTGGATTTGATAATGGATAACTTGATGACTGCTGGGTGTTTGGTACCTTATGTAGTATACTTGTTGAAGCTGTTTGATTTGGTACTTCATTGTTTGACTCAATATGAGTTGATTCCGTTACTGAACTGTTATTGCATTGGGATGATATGTGTCCTGTATTTTTGCAAATAAAGCAGGTAAGTGTACCTTGTGACAAAAATATGCGGTAAAGTGTTTGATCGAAATTTATTAGAATAGAACCTGGAATTGGTGATGTTATAGGGCTTATATAAACTTGCCTCAGAAAGCTCAATATGTGACTATATTCGGGGAGAGTCGAGCTAATTTTCAGAAATGATATTGGGGAAATAAGCTTTAAACCGATATTCTGTAATTCTTTAACTAATACTTGATAAGGAATTGATGGGCAGACTCCAGATAAGACTAGTCTTTCTGCTAAAGAAAGAAAGAAAGAAATAGAAAGAAATTATTGATTCAAAAAATGTGAGATTATTCCATTGGAGATACGAATAAAGTTGTGACATTATTCAATTGTAGATACGAATAAAGTTCTAGGTATGCTCAATTCCTCCAAATATTGTTCAGTTAACAATGAAACTTTCGCTGGAGTTTTAGATGCCAGCTTTAAATAGTACATGAAGGCTATGACTATGAGGTAATCTGACAAACCAAAGAACCAAGGTATTGGTTCTTACTAACAAAAACGTCGTAGATTTACAAAAAGCAGTATATTAAAAAGGAGAAACCCCGTTAAAGATCATGAATCAACTTATGAAGAGTTTGATTATTTACTTCAAGACACAGATGCATAATGGAGGGACAATTTTTCTGAAGAGAATTAATTTTCAATCCGGGTTTTAAAGAAAAATCATTTGTCAAAGTTTTTACTTGCGAACTTTGATTTTGTCAAAGTTATGGAAAAGACTAAAAATTCAGTTCGATTATGTTGTCAAGGTTATCGAATTTGATGAGGAAGGATATATTGGAAAGTATTACAAAAAATCCTCCCATGGCTTGAGATTTTCTCAAACAGATAAAGATGCTTTTTTGAAACACCTGATGATGTGAATCGCAATCTTGGGAAACCAAAGTGGCACACACCTATCAAATTCCAAGAACTAATCATTTTGACGATGATTTTGAAGGTTTAACAATACATTAAGTCATTAATTCTATTTACAGTTACCAGAAGTTAATAATTATAAATCAATAATGTTAAATATTGGTTTAAAAATGTTTTTTGTAACTTGGCTTAAATTTTACTTTGTGTGTCAATGAGTTATCAATTTTTTAAATATGTCAAATAGGTACAGCTGGTTTCTAAAAAACTGATACAACTCGATTACGAGTAAGATTTGATTATCTTGAGCAGAGTATTTGATTGGTCTAATATTATATTATATTTATTATGACAGACAAATAATAAATTAAACAAACAAACAACAAACAATTGATTACATATGTTAATTCATATGTAATTATTGAGGTATAAAATTACTCCAATACAACCATTTTATAATATCACCCTACACATTCTTGATTGGGTTTAAATCTGGACTGTAGTTTGGCCCTAATAAGGTTTCGATGTTGATATTCTGGAGCCACTGGTTTATTATATTTGCAGTGTCAACAGGACAATTATCTTGTTAGAGGAAAAAATTATTTTCTGGATACAACTGTTCTACAATGGGAAACATGATGTTTTCTAGAATATTCAAATAAGTCTACCCAACAAACCTGCCATCAATACGCCATACCATTCCCATTGATTCCTCTAGATGAAATCCATTCATTGGCGCTAAAATGACCAGCTGCTCAATATCTATCAACATATAGGGCATTAAATTTATTATTACCTGGTCTATATACCCTAATTTTGCCCTTTTTAGAAGATTAAAAAATGTTTTTATTTGTTCTTACTTTAAACTGTGACAAATCTTTAGCAAAATCGAGGTAAATAACGTCTACCGAGGCTTTTCTGTCTAATAATGCTCTTGACCATTCATTGACACACCAGAGAAGATTTGCCATGCTGCTGTTCTGGTATAACCAGTTCATTTTGAAGAAAATCAGAAATTGTCTCAGCAATAATAGATTCTATTATCTAAGATATTATCGGTGTTAAGCTGATAGGACGATAGTTATTAAGATCCAATTTGTTCCCTTTTTTAAAAATCGGTGTTCAGATGCGGTTTTCCCATATAGGAGGCAAAATATGTGTGGTTACTGTTAAGGACATAACAGTAACCACAGAAATGTTCTGATGCTTTCGCTTACCCACATATCGTGGGTAAGCGAAAGCATCAGAACATTTCTTTAAAAATAAAGAAGAAGAAAAGTCGAGACCAGGAGACGAATTATTAATAATTAATTATTATTTTTAAGATGTTTAACTTTTTCGGGAGTAATGATTATATTTTCAAGTGAAGAAGAAACTCTTGGCGAAGTAATATTTGTATATGTCGTTTTAAAATAATTATACCTACAATAATTAAATTTACTATCAATTGATATTTATCAATATTTTATTATTAATTTAATATTTCATCTGAATTTGACAGGTTTGTCAGAAGTAAACAATGTATGTTTTGTTAATACGTTAGTAGATAGCGTTAGAAACAAACATAATAATTTATTGAATCATTTTAATATAATATAATTTGTTCAAAATATGAATCATAAATAAATAATAAAATTACTTTATTCAATTTTAAAAATATTAGCTAAATTTTAAAAATACAGAAAAATATTTATTAAAAACAATTTTTTACAAGTTTATGATTTGTTAGAAACAATGTTAAAATTGTCCGCGGAAGTTAAGTAATAAATTTGTAAGTAATAATCATGTTTTTTTAATTAACAAATTGGTTTAATAAACAACGGGAAGATTTTTGTTCCATAATTCCTTATAATAATTCTCGATCGAATTCAGAATACAAGAGAAAAAGATTAACCAAACTAACCAAAGAAGCTTTATCAGTTTTTTTAAAATTATTTCTACAAACTTTTAATTAAAATGATTTGATTATAATAACTGTCAAAATTCGGGCATACCGTTTAATCCGTAAAGTGTATTCCTGTTATTCCTGCAATGTGCACAAACAGAAGAAACTCGCGCACTTGGCACTGTTGGTTTTCTTGGCGGTATCACGAAATAGCACCGATCACCGCGATCCAATATCTCAGGAATTTTCTCTTGTTCTATTCAGAGATCAGCTCCTGCTAGTCGCCGGCGCGAACCGTCTCTGTCAGACGCGGTGTTGCCGGATCACTGTTTCTTAGATCTTGGAATTATGAAATATTTTTTTAACTCGACATATTTTATCAACCATATCCAGTATTACAATTATTATTCTCAAATTATCATCATTATAATTATGTAGCGTTTTAACTCTTAAGTCTTTGCTATCCGTTTGAAGCTATTCGCTTCAAATAACTCGATCATCTATCAACCTATAGTCAAATTGTCATGTTTTTTTTGATAAACATGACAATTTGACTATAGAATACTTCCCCTTAATTGCCCTAAACGAAAATATCATAGAAGCTATTCGAGAGGCTCAAGTAAAATGCTGCCCTAAAAGACGCCAAGACAGAAAAATAACCATTGAAACAAAGCAACTAATGGAAACTAGAAGAAAAATCAAAGGAAAAGAAAACATTGACGAAGAAGAACTGCGAAAAATAAGCAAAGAAGTATCAAAAGCTATAAAGAAAGATTTAAGGAAATTTAAGAATGAAAAAGTCCAGCGAATTATAAAAGAGAATAAATGTCTGAAAGTCCTGAGAAGACGACTAAACACTGGAATATGCGAAATACACAAACTAAAGGACAAAGAAGGAGTTCCCACATAAAATAGAGAAGAACTACTCCACATAGTTGAAGACTTCTATCAAGAACTATACACAAGCCAAAGAGAAGACCAAAAGAACTTAGAAGCTGCCGCATCATACAAAATTATCAACCAGGGTTCAGACCTCAGTGCCAGAGATCATACTAAGAAAATGTTAAAAGAATAGTGTCTCCATAGAAGTCATTGTATTGTGATTGTTTTGCTTTGAGGACGTCCATTAGGTTCTTGTGGCGGACTTTATCGAAAGCCTTGTTGTAATCTATGACATATATGTGCATATTTTCTTTCACATCCAAGCATCTCTGGATTAGTACGTTAAATGCAAAGAAAGCTTTCACTCCTCTACGGAATGGCCTCTACAAATTGAGTTTCTACAATATCTCTAGATATCAAGTATTTATGCGTTTATGTATGATCTTAAAAACACTTTAAGTGTGTAAGACATCAGGCTTATGGTACGGTGGTCAGTGCATTCTCTAACATTTTTCCTTTTTGGGAGACAAATAAATGTTGAGGTCAACCACTTATTGGTTGATCTAGCCCCGGGCTTCTTCCATTTCTAGTGTTCTTTAATGCATACAATATTTCTTCCTTTGTAATTTCTATACTTTTTTCTCTGTCCTCGAAAGATATGTCTTGTAGGTTTCCTCTTTCATCATCGAAAAGCTCTTCTATATATTCTTTCCATCGTTTTAGCTTTTCGTGAGTTGTTATTATATTATTTCCATTTTTATTTAAAAAAGTTGTGTTGTGGTTTCTTTTTTGCAGCTCTGCCATTTCTTGAACCTTTTTATGTAGGTTGAATAGGTCGTGTTCTGAAGATCTTCTATCTATTTACATTTTCCCTCATAGTAAGTTTGTTTTGCCTATCCTATCATTTTTCTGATTTCATTGGTAATGATTTTGTAATTGTGACTGTCTTTGTTCTTGGTTTGTCTTCGTTGGTCCATCCTGCCGAGTATTTTCTAGTTGTCTCCCTTTCCTATCGGTTCTTTTATTTTCTCTTTGCATGGAACGAGGAGACAGTTTTTTAATGTTTTCCAGTATTGGTTTTTCTCATAGTTGTTAGTATCTAATTTATCAAAGTTTGCGTATATTTTCTGTTGGAGTTTGTTTTTTATAACAGCTTCTTTCAGTTTTCTAACATCTAATTTAGAAGTTCTTTGGGGTTTTCTAATACGATTAAGCTTAAGCGTGACATTAGCGATTAGTGGGTTATGGTCTGATGTGACATCTACTCCTAGATATGTTTTAACTGATTTGATGATCTCTCTTTAATCAATATATGATCCATTTGGTTTCTTACCACTTTTTCCGGTTTATCTGCTGGCGAGCGCCATATGAATAACCGTCTCCTAGGTAATTTAAAGAACGTTTTTGTGATTATTAGACTTTGTTCTTGCCAAAATTGTATTAGACGATCTTCTCTATCGTTACGTTCCTCCAGTCCTTGATCTCCTTTTATTGTTCCAGCTCTTCCCTTGGAGCATGTTGGCGCATACCTACACTTCAATTTTAGTTTCGTGTGTGAAAAATTATTTTTTATAATAATGCTATATTTACAGAGATACGAATTTGTCGTTTATTATATAGGTAAGTATATTTCACGTAGCTCAGTAGTACTTGTTATATAAACACCATGTTTTAATAAATAATTAAAATCAACAAGGTTTATAATTTTAGTAAAGTCCGTACCAAATCAATACGACTGGCAACACAGCAACTGAGCTAAGCGTAGGAAGAAACGCATGCGTCAATTCGTACATGAACGAGACCAAGATGTGTTTAAAGCGTGGGCGAAGAATTGGGTACGATTGAGAATGCCCGAAACAGGTATATTGCAAGGTAAGCTACTGGGGGTCATTTAAAAGCTGAAGGCCTTTAAAATTTCTGGGAACAAATAGCGGTCAGCCGTCTTGCTGTTGTGCACGTAATATCTGGTGGGTTGAACTGGAATTTTGTCATAGCAGGAAGGTATTGTCATGTGGGCGCATTTGTGCAGATGTTAAAAAATGCTAATAACAGCGGATTGAAAGTTTTCTGTGATGTATACAAATATGGCAAGAAAGAATGTTATTTTGTTTTATTGTAATTTATAAAGTCTTATGTTTGCAGTTACAATCACAAAACGGGACGTTTGATGCCATATGAAGATTTGTGCAAACTCATTGGCGTGCTTTACTGCACCTTTAAACAAAAGTTAGGTATTCCGTAGGTATTACTATAGTTATCGTACCATCCTTCTGAAAAAGCAAACTCTAAAATGTAGAAGTAACGAATAAATAATAATGACCGATTTCTAAGTTAGCAAAAGACAAAGTGGAGTTTGAGCCATACTTTACATCAAATTTCTTACTTCTTTACATCTTTCAAGTAGGACGGAAAATGTCAAGAAGCATTACAGCAGTAAAAAGAGAAATGATCTCTGATAACATTTTGGCACATTTTGACCCAAGTTTACCTTTAATAATTGCAACTGATGTAAGTCCATATGCAGTTGAAGCAGTATTATCTCACATATATCTGGATGGATCTGAGTTACCAATTCAATTTGCTTCACAAATACAAAAGTACAACAAAAATATGCTCAAATAGATAAGGAAGCATATGCCATAATTTTTGGTATTAAAACATTTTACTATTATCTATTTGGTATAGAATTTACACTCTATGTGAATAATCAACCTTTAGTTCAAATATTCTCTTCATCTAAAAATTTACCTACACTAACTACAACTAAAATGCAACATTACGCACTGTTTCTTCAAAGTTTTAATTACACAATTAAGTATAATAACTTTACCTGTTACTTTTAAAGAATTTAGTTTTGAAACTACAAGAGACCCCACACTACAAAATATTTACAATGCTCTAGGAACTGGAAAACTGATCGATGCTAGGGATATGTTCAATGTCCCACAGATAGAATTTCCTTTACAAGGAAATTGTATTTTTCTGCAACAAATGACAGTAATTCCAACTAACCTACTTAAAAAAGTTTTAAATGAATTACACACTGCTTATTTTGGTACAGTCAAGATGAAAATGCTTGCAAGAGGATACTGCTGGTGGCCAGTCATTTCTAAAGATATAGAAGATATATGCAAAAATTGTACAGACTGCAAAAAAAATCAAAGGTAATCCAGAAAAAAACAGTAGTACACCCATCGGAGACACCTAGAACCCCTTTTGAAAGAGTTCACGTAAATTTGGCAGGACCTTTCATGAATTCATACTATTTTATTATAGTGGATGCCAATACTAGATGGCCAGAAATACATATGGTTAAAGATTTGACAAGCAAAACTACCATAAACTTACTAAGAACTTATTTTTGTACATTTGGAAGTCCAAATTGTTTAGTTTCAGATAATGCACAAACCTTTACTAGTTACGAATTTAAACAATTTATACAGCAAGATAGAATCTTGCACAAATTCAGTGCACCATATTACCCAGCTACAAATAGAATGGCAGAGGGGTATGTACAAACATTCAAACAAGCGCTACGTGCACAAAAAGGAGATAATAATGAAAGGGAGCTACGGCTCAACAAATTCTTACTAAATTACAGAAGAACCCCACATAGTACAACTGGTGTCAGTCCTTGAAATTTGATGTTTGGAAGAAGATCCGAACAAGATTAGATTTATTGAAACCGTTTTACAAAACACATCAAATACATTCAATACCATTGGTTGAATTTGAATTGTTTTTATTGGAAATTAAGGTGGAAAAAAATAGACATCTTCCGACATTTGACATAAAAATGATAGGCAAACTTTATTTGTTACAGTGTTGCCATACATAAAAGTTAAAATATTAAATTAAGAGTCTGTTGTAGGACATTTCCCACTAAGTTTGTGTTATTTTGTACTATTTTATATCGTTTTCGGTAATTAGTAAATTTGTTTCGTTTAATTCCATCATGGATATTACGCCTAGGAAGCGTGAAAAGATTATCATGTGAACACACATCTATATCACAAAGAGAAATCACAAGAACGTGTGGAGTGAGTCAGGGTAAACAAGATTTTAAAGCGTAAACGAGAAACGGGATTAATGATGGGAAAGGATTAGAAAAATGTGGAAGAAGGAGAAAAACAACACCTGCAGATGAAATATTTTTATTTGAAAGAGCAAATTGGACCCAAGAAAAAGAAGCCAATAGCTGCAACAAAATCTAGCAACATCAGTGTGAGTGTAGTGTAGTGATCCACGACTTAACTGCTTCTAACTGAACGAATGAAGAAATGAAGGCTATTGTGGGCCAAATAATGGGAATGCCTGGAGAAAAGTCCTATTTACAGATGAAACTCACTTTATAGTACAAGGACAGCGGTCGAAATTCGTCAGGCAGTCTGACACTGAAAACCTCACACTAGCTCATATTGATCAAACCGTAAAACATCCAGTCAAAAAAATGTTTTGGGGATGTTTTTCATACATGTAGGTTGGATCTTTGTTACCAATCGAAGGCATGATGAACAGTCAAAAATACAAATCCATATTGGAATAGCGTTTGAACACAGAACTCCAAAAATGTCAGCCCCAAGGAAGAGTGATTTTTCAACAGAACTCTGCTCCTTGCCACACGTCAAAGCAAATAATGAAATTTTTTTAAAGATAAGAAGATTAATGTTTTAGACTGTCCTGGTAATTCGCCAGACCTCATCCCACTGAAAATTTATGGGCCATTTGCTAAGCTAGACTGCGTAAAATCGGCTACAAAAATAAAAATGAGTAGCTGTCATTCAGGTTTGGTTTCGAGATGAAAGCATATCTGGGAACTGTCACAAGCTCGTAGAATACACCCCAAATCGGGTAAAAGCCGTAATTGCAGCCAAATGGTAATAGCAGCCTACTAAATGATATAAGTTTACCTTTATAGTTTTGTTATATATATTTTTTTCTAAATTAAGTGTTTTTTCATTAAAACTATGATTTCATTAATTCGCTCAGTACTGTTTTATTACAAATCTGTTTTATTGATCCAAAAATAGTTTCTAATTCTGAATTCGATTTATTGCGAACCAGTAATAAAATATGCACACGCTTTAATGTTATTACACATCTTGTACACCTTATTTTTGTATACCAAAATAATCGTAAGGAAAAGCTCTATACTAAGACCCAAGGACTACAAATTTCAGATATTACGACCTTTATTTTCGGAAAACGGAAGAAAAAAGACAGGAAACGACCGACTGCCTGTGGGTTGGAGTCTCATACGGATACGCTATTATGCAAATATCTTGAAAGAGATAAATAATATGCATGCTGTGGGAAACCTATATAAGAAGAGCAATTATTTGGTTTGGTGAACGCGTAGATATTATTAATTTTGACGCGAGGTGAAAGGGGAGAGAGACAGGAGAACCACAACATCATCCAGCCTAAATTTTGCCTCTCTTTAAAAATCCTTATTATCGTTAGGGAATTCTTGTGCCTGGAGTGGATTCCACTACCTGTTTTGAGTAAACGAAAGGTGTATTAGAATTGATGGCTATTGGTATTGCAATCCTATATTATTTTTTTTAATGTTAAGGATTAATACTACCTGTGAATGACACAGTAGTTCATATTATATATAACCCGGTTATAATAAAAAGTTTATATTTGTCAACTTATCTTTGCCCTTTACTGGCACAAACTGGTTGTACTATTCTACGTTGAACCTGCAGATGATGCAGCTCGAGTAATTTATACGAAAAACGATGTGAAATCCCGGAATCTAATTGTGCAATGTTTGCATGCCAGTATAAATACATCTGCAAAGGAGATTATAGGTATACATATTAGTAAATGCATATCAGAAGAAGAGAATTTCGACACAGATTCAACAACAGCAGAAACCAAGGTCATTGGAATGAGGAACAGGGTATTTAAATATATTTTTTACAAAAATCAGTAAAACTATTTGGGAACTTGAGGAGGAGATCAATACAAGATAGTGAAGTTGTATTACAGTTGTTACCAGAGCATTTGATATATTTTTTAAGCCCTTTTCTCTATTCGGATTGCCGAATATAGGCCTCTCTAATTCTCGCCATTTATTTCTGTTGTTTGTAACTCGTTTCCACATTGGTCCTGCAGTTCTTTAAATATCGTCACTCCATCGCATTTTCGGTCTTCCTCGTGGTTTTTTGGCTTCATATGGCCACCAATTCCCGATTTCTTTATTCCATCGGCCATCCTTAAGACGTTCGCTATTTCTAGCCCATTTACATTTTAGTTTAGCTACCTGTTTGACAGCATATTTTACTTTTGTTCTATTACGAATGTCTTCTTTGTTTTTATGGTATTTTGAGTGAGATACTCAGCATCTGTCGTTCCATAGCTCTCTGAGTTTTTCTGATCTTCTCCATGTTTAGTTTAGTGAATGTCCAGGTTTGAGCTCCATATGTAAGTACAGGTAGGATACAGGTATATTGAGGTATATATTTATTTTTAAGTGCGTGTGGGAGTCTTCTGAGTGCTGCCTATCCCATTTTTACACATCTGCTTATTTAGGTAGTTTGATTTTCTTTGCTTACCGTGACATTTTGACCCAGATATGTAGATTCATCTACGTGTTCTATCTCTGTTCCATGGATGTTTATCATCGATTTGTCATCTTTGTTTGACATTGTTTAGTTTTGCTAAAATTCATTTTCAGTCCTTTTTGTAGGGATTTTGTCTGTAGCTACTCAATCATCGTATTTAGTGCATTCCATGTGCCGGCTACGTCACAGCTACGTCTACGGTATTACGTCATCTGCGTATCTAAGATAGTTCAAGTATCTTCCGTTAATAGGGATTCCCCTATTTTCCTAGCCTATTGACTTAAAGATATCTTCTAGGGCAGCTTTAAATAATTTTGAGAATAGTGTGTCTCCTTGTCTTACGCCTCGGTTGATTTTTACTGGTCTTGTTTCGATTCCATTACCCAACGTCACTATCATTTCAGCTTGTTCGTAAATATTATGTATTAACATTCTGTACCTGGAGTCGATCCTGTTGTTGACTAATGCTTCTTCTATTGCCAACAGTTCTACGCTATCAAAAGCTTTTTCATAATCTATAAAAGCCAGACATAATGGGAGATTGTATTCGTTATTGTTTTCTATTAGGATTTTCAAAGTATATAGATGGTCACAGGTGCTGTATCCTTTTCTAAATCTGGCTTGTTCTACCGATTGATATGCGTCAAATTGATATTATGTTCTGTCAAAATGAAACTAAAATTACATTAAATTTTGTTAAAAACAAACTATTAATGGTAAAATCCAGGCAACATAAAAATGATCACGAAACAAATCCTGCTCTTTCATTTGTAGGAAATAAACAGCCATAACAAAGAAATACCAAATTATAACAAAGGAATACCAAATTAGTTGTAAATTTAACAAAACAAACTCTTGAGGAAGTTGAATGTAAAGTATTACTTCAGGGGGAACTGCGTTAGGGAGACCCTCTCTCCTGTATACTGTTTAGCTCTGGAAAAAGTAATACGTATATCACAAATCACAACCATTGGTTCAATATATAATAAATCAGTGCGAATTCTTGCCTATGCTGATGATATCAATATTGTTGGGAGAACGTCAAATGTTGTACGAGAGGCGTATGTATCAATAAAAGAATCAGCTACAAAAATGGGTTTATTAATAAACACGAACAAAATAAAGAATATGAAAATAAGCACGCAATCACAAATCCAACGACCATTTGTTATCGAGAACGACGTCATCGAAGCAGTGAATGAATTTGTATTCCTGGTAGCGCTCCTTATCCTTAACACAGAAAATAATACTACCACTGAGATAAACCACAGAATTTGCACGGCAAACAGATGCTATTTTGGCCTATCAAAACGCTCCTTGATAGGTCCATTGGTCAGAGAAGACAAGGAAGACCCAGAACAATGCTCGTCGTATCGAACAGTGCCTGATAACCAATGCTCTATCTTTCGGCATGAACTTTCTAAACTGCAGTTTATTATCTCTCCTTTCCTATTTGTCTTGGAGCGATTCCAAACACCGCACAAAATGTCTCCCTACACACCTGTAAAACGTTGCCTTCTCTGTTGGGCAATGTGAAGGAAAGTGTAAAATGTCTCTGACTCTCTTCTAGTCTTTCATAATTTCGTACGTTTTTGCTGTACATTATCATTCAAGCTATAAAATTCGTAAAAAGCCTCATTTTTGTTCATACTGTATCTCTTTATACTTGAAGTTGCATTTGCACAATATCTAATACAAGATTTCAGAATAACTACTGCCCAAAAATAAAAACAATATTCGACTAACCTTATTTTTAGGATGCAGCTTGGTAGGAACTTTGTTATTATTTTTCTTTGCATAGTACTCTTTTTCAGCATTTCTTTTTTTCTGCCTTTCCTTTTGCTTATTGCCCTTTCTGGAGGTAGCACCAGCATTCATTCTTATATCATTTTAAAACTATACAGAACGAGATAAACAATAACAAGTTTACTAATACAACGTCAAAACAGTACTGAAACTGTCATATTTTTTGGCATTTACCACATTTTTTACCGGCGACGTTGTGGCGATTGACTTAAGGTCGATTCAGACACATCAATCACGTCTCGTCACAGTCCTGGCGCCGAACCGAACAATCCGTCATACAAAATATTCTTTAATAGAAATATGGCGCCGAACAGTATTGACGAACAGTTTCCCATCTGTCAGATCATTAATAGTTCTGTGACCAAACAGGACCGATTCGGCGCCGAGACTGTGACGGGACTGATATGTCCGAATTGACCTTAACACGCAATCTGTTGAGAATTTTTTAAGTGCTTAGCGCATTATATAGGTTGTTGGTTATGGTACTTGGAACATTTTAAAGGTAAAAAATAAAAATTGTAAATTTCAAGTTAATTAGTAAATTATGGCATAAAAGAAATACATATTTATGTAGGTTGTAAATTTTACAAACTTACATGCTGTGGTCTCCACCTTCCTAAATTAGAATTAAAAGGAAGAAACAAACAAAAAATCCTCGAATATTTATTTTAAATGGAACTAGAAAATTTTGCAGGAATAATGATTTGACATATTTATTAAAATAACTCATTTTTTTTAATATAGCTCTACGATATATTTAAATGTTATACTATACTTTACTCTTACAATTAGAGGAATAATTTATAAACTTCTAGCACTAAACATAAATCATTAAAATACATAATTAGATCCTAAGACTACAAAGTTCTTTACACATTTAAATCACAGGATTTCGCCTTTCCAATTGGCCGCATCACCGTTGGTTTGGACCGAGGCATACTAGTCAAACTATGTGTCTGGAAAATAACAAGAAGGTATATTATGTAAAAATCACTTGGTTGAAAATGCTACGGTTCTAGTTCATGCATGCATGCACTTGGCTTAAGCGGACCTACACTAAAATAACAATAGTAATGTAGTAATTGCTTGCAGTTTTCATCTAGCCGAGTATGGTGAAGAAGAAACATTTTAAAGAAGCTTTTGCTTTTCTATAAGACTATTTTATTGAGAGACCGGATGTCCCAGACAGTAGGATAGGCTTACACTCTGGGGTGACTCTAAGCAAACCATAGGTAGCTTAAAAAGTTTGCGACGCTAGATATGTCTGCGTCCGTGGTCTGCGTTTTGAGAACTTAGAAATATACTCTATACCAAGTCTTCTATGTACTATTTAAATCTGTTTTACATAAATAATTTAATGGGTTTAATAAAATGTTATTGTTAATTCATATCAGTGGTAGAACAGCTTAAGTTTAGTCTCAACGTTCCTTAGTGTATTTCAACAGTCAATTTTTAATATTCTCAACATAAATATATGAATAAGATTTGCTGATGTTACAATACGTCACTTTGGTTTTTGCATTCCTCTTTGCCAATTTCCCACATGCTACGATAAACGAGTTGGTCTGTGAAGTTTGTGTTTTTCCTATAGGGATACAGGTACAAAAGCATTAAGAACAAAAAAATCTCTTCCGTAGAACATTTAAGTGAAAAATTTTTGCAGAAGACATCAATAATTTGAGTCATATCTTAAATAACTCTGATCTTTGTGAAAAAGTTCATTATGTTTCAAACGACACATACCCAGAGGCTGCAAACAGTATTTTATACCAGACCTTCTCGGACTATTTAATGAAAACCTATTCAACAAAGAAACTGATGAAAATACTCAGCAAATCATGGCAAATAAAGAGGATTGTCATCATATATAGATTTGATATGATACACAGTAGTAAGATGGTGTTAAACCTTATCAAAAAGCTTAGTTCCCACTGAAATCAGGAATCCCTATATATAATATATAACAAGCGAGTCTTCTACAGCTGGCGCCGCTTCTCGTATCCTAATTTACAGCGTTTTCTGTCGAAGCAATCTTCAGTTATTAGATATCTGGCGGTCATTGCATCGTCGACATCGTCTCTCCAGGATCGTCTTGGTTTACCCTCGTTTCTTCTAGTTGGCGGAGTCCATTCTTCTATTTTTGTTGGCCATCTATTTTCAGGCATTCTCTGAAGGTGTCCATACCAGTTAAGTCTTTTGGCTTCGATTGTGTCTATTATGTCTAGATCGATTTCCATTTCTCTCCGAATATCTTCATTTCTCACCCCATCAACTCTAGTGAGCTGGCAACATCGTCTCCAGTAGTTCATTTCCATGGCCTTAATTTTTGATTGGTGTTTTGGTTTATTTCCCAGAGTGCGGCACCGTACAGCCCAATACTTTCTATTATTGTTTTATAAATTCTTCTTTTATTTTCTTTTGTTATTTTTTTATTCCATAATATTCCGTGTAGTTGTCTGGTGGCTGATCTTGCTTGGCCAATCCTGTAATGTATTTCTTCGCTACTTCCTGCTTTTGATGTTATTTGTACTCACAAGTATTTAAAATTGTCTGTTGGTTTTATAGTTCCCATTTAGATTTGTAGGCTTTCTGGTTTTTCTCCTATAACTAAGTACTCAGTTTTTTATATATTAATAATTGTGAGGCCTCATTTGGTGCACTCATCTTCCAATTTTCTAAGCATGTAGCCTACATCACTCTCGTCTTCAGCTAGAATGGCTTGGTCGTCAGCGAAGTGTATCGTATACAATCTATCATCTTCGATTGGGATGCCCATATTGCAGCACTTTCTTCTCCACAGTGAGAGTGCCTCATTTTGATATATTTTATTGTTTGCCGTCATATTTTTGTAGAGCTGTTGTACTGCTTGTATATATTTTTTTGCTTATTCCTTGTTTTTCCATTGCTACCCAAAGCATTGAAAGTGGTACACTATCGTATGCCTTTGTCAGATCTATAAAGACTATATGAGTTGAAAGGTTGTGGGCTAATTTTTTCTCGATAACTTGCTTTAGAGAGGATATACTGTCCATACAGGATCTGCCTTCACGAAAGCCATTCTGTTCTTCTACATCTGTCATCTCTTTTTCAATTTTATTTTTTATTATTTTTCCATACAGTCTTGAGAGTGAATTTATGACACTTAGCCCCCTGTAGTTTAAACAATTATTTCTATCTCCTTTTTTGTAGATGTTGTTAATATGTGCTTTTGTCCATTCCAGTGGTAAGTTGTGTCCATTATAGAATAAGGTGAAGACATACGCCAGTAATTCCCGTAAGTCGGCTATGTCCCAGAAATCCCTTTAAAGTAATATTAGACCAGGTAGCTTATTAGCTACTATAACAAAGAAGGGCCAGTTCAATATTACAGACACCAACAATATTTAGAAGAAATTGCCTCTAGGCACCTTTCGCAATGAAAATATCAGGCAGCAAACGTATATGATATCTGTTAGAAACAAGTAAAAATCTTGGACTCAGTAGCCTAGAAATTGACTCTGGAGCTCCTTAACAATTAGCGAAATAGCTCGTTTCGAAACTTTTTAAATGCAAGGTAAAATGATAATCGTTTTAAAGTCTACGTCCAATCATCATTGAGATACTCAAGTCTAAATTGCACAAAAAACATAGTTGACCAGAATTTAGTCGAACAGTCCCTATAAGGGCATAAAAATAGAAACTTAACTAAGATTTTTTAAACTTCTATTAAAGAAATACACAATATCCACAAGGAAAACAATTCCTGTAGCTGGCTGTATACCACGTATCACAAAAAAGAGGTTAGTCTTCGTAAGTGGGTATATTTATTTAAAAACCCTTAAAAGGGCTACATCAAAAAAACAAACGTTTTCGGACTAAACAGTCCATCAGCAGGTTTAAAAATCGCCTAAAATAAGTATAAACCATTTAGTTAAAACAAACGTGGTTATGAAATTTTGACTATGATTAAAAAGCAAAAAATGGCTATACTTACTAGGTTAAAATGCCTGAGCCACCAAAAATACATGGGTAAAAACCCTTTAAATTACATATAGTTATAAAAGAATATACGTCTTGTTGTTAAAAAACTGTGATGTTCAGTATTAAATTAAATATGACTTCAGGTAACATACATTGCAAAAAATTGAGTTCCAGAGCCGGGGAGAAAACCTGTACGCACGTAGAACAGCTGGAAACTGATTTACAATATGCCTATGAAAGGTGTCAAAAACAAAATGTCAATGTAACATAGAACTATATTAGTTATACCTAGTATTACTACAGCCAAAATATTCAAAAATTATTTTTGATGATTTTAAAAAAATAATAACAGCAATATAGGTGTTGAGATTTAAAATCAGTGTTATAATCGATGTGAAATCACCAATGGTGTTAAAGTCATGTTTAAGAGGATGACCTGTGTATTAGGCAACCTATGTTGCTTTTTGTCGTATGGAATATGGTCTAAAAGTGTATTTTATGTTAGATTAGCTTATATATATATATATATATATATATATATATATATATATATAATATATATATATATATATATATATATGAAAATTATCCTTTTATGTTTATCACATCTAGGACAGGTAAACATTTTTTTTAATAGCAAATATTTGAAGCTAATATAAGACCTCGTATTTAATTGACTATTTAAGACTGTTAGTATGGTGAAAAAATTAATAAAAACAATTTTTGGTAAATTGAAAATCTACAGGCTGAAGAAATCAGAGTTATAACCTATGTGATTAATTTAAAATTGAAGAGGCTGAGCTCCTCAGAGACTTGATGAGAGTAAAAGTAGAGGAAATGACTGAAGAAGGAGGGGATGGTTAAAGGAGAAAAGGAGTTAATAAACAATTAGAGATAATAGGGGTCCTTTATGCTTACAGCATCTAGCACCCTGAACAAAATGTATTTTAGTAGTAATAAATTCGGTTTGTAAAAACCTAAAATTTGATGTATAAGTGTGCTACTAAGTTGTTGACCAAGGGAAGGTGAGCAGTGTTGGATAAGGATATTTTAATAGGGGAAAAATATATGATTTTTGAAAAACAGTTAGATGATGTTTGAATGATTACTGACTTTAAAACTATTGAGTGCATGTTTGATATACGAGTTGACCAAGAAATAATGAAAGAAAAGAAAGGACAGAAATGTGATGTAGATATGAAGGGTGAAGAAAATGATAAAATATTATGGTATGATAGATGTGGGTGGTTATAAAGTTAACACTAGGGTCGAAAAGTAATTAGGGGAAGGAGTGGCAAAAGTTTAGAGACTGGTTGTTTGAAGAAGCACAAATAATATGAATTTTGATAAAATGTTAGATAATGTTTGAGGGAATAAAGAGTTAAACATATTGAGTACATGTTTGATAAATGAGTTGACCAAGAAATAATGAAAGAGAACGGAATGGATAGGAATGTGATGTAGATGTGAAGAGTGGAGAAGATGTTGGAATATTTTGTTATGATAGATATGGATGGTTCTGAAGTTAACAATGGGGTCGAAAATTTTTTTTGAGGTGAAGGAGTGGCAATTATGTAGAGGAAGGTTGTTTAAAGAAACACAAATATTGTATAGGGTTAAAGGTGTTGAAGTTTGTATAGGATAGTCGGGCAAAGAAGGTAAGGAAATATTGTGAAGCGTGGACTATGAGAAGAGTTGTCGATGTAAGAAGGTATTTTTGGTGGCTCAGACATTTTAACCTAGTAAGTATAGCCATTTTTTGTTTTTTAATCATAGTCAAAATTTCATAACCACGTTTATTTTAACTAAATGGTTTATACTTATTTTAGGCGATTTTAAAACCTGATGATGAACTGTTTAGTCCTAAAACGTTTGTTTTCTTGATGTAGCCCTTTTAAGGGTTTTTAAATAAATATACCCACTTACGAAGACTAACCTCTTTTTTTGAAATACACAATGTTTTTACTATAAACATTAAGGTGTGCTTTAAATTTGCACCACTACAATTTTGCCTAGCCAGCTCATGACAACTGACACAACAAGCTTATTTCTGAGCAAATTATAAAATAAAACAATTACCAATCATGATATTAGGCGATCGGGAGAAGTAAACAAGCCATCATCAAACTTTCATACATACTGTGTACGTATTGACGTACTTTCCCTTATTAAAGTAATAGATAGTTACCTCCAAGTTTCTTGGAGTTCTGTATTTGGAAGTCATTTTTTTCATTAAACCGTCTTTGTAAGTGTTAAATTTGTTTCCTTTCTCTTTCGCCGAAGTGTCGTTTCCTTTTGTCGAAGAACGAAGGATTGTGTCAGCTTCGATTTGTTTTGCTCTGAAACGTTGCCAGAAGATCTTTTTGAAGGTTGTTCGGAATTTTTTACTCAATAAGCAGTAAATTAGGAAGTTGCATGGAGCCATCAGCATCACCATAAAGTTGCAGAAATTACCTAAAACTGAACATTTTGATTAGACAACGTACTGTGAGCGAATCATAACCAAAAAAAAATCCATAATATTTAGTACGAAGTAACTAAAAATATTAAAAGATAATTATTAACCTTTCTATGTTTATTTTAATTAATATAATATTATTGAAATGTATTATTCATCTTCTTAACATTATGTTTTGTCAACTAATGGAGAAGTTAATAGAACAAGTGACAAATTCGGATAAAAAGGGTGAAAGAGAGAGAGAGAGAGAGAGAGAGAGAGAGAGAGAGAGAGAAAGAGCAACTGCAGTCTCAGAATAACAAACAGGCTTAAATTTGCCTTTCTCAAGTGATCTATTTTTGGCATGCGTTTACACTTTATAGTCTCTAATGAAATAGGTTGAGGAGGGGAGAACTGTTTGTCTCGAGTTGGTCATTCAGAGTTATATCAGTTTTTTAATTTGTTGATTTCTATAGATTCTAACAAGGATAGCTTAAGGCCTTTATTTTGAATGTGAAGAATTGTAAATTCGTCATTTAGGTCATTCAGGTCATTTAGGTCATTCGTCATTTAGGTCATTCGTTACCTGGCAAATATATCAAAAACAACAAGAGCCAAAATAAAAAGACACTTACACAGTGGTGTGTACAAACTTAAATGTGGCGACTGCCCAAAAACTTACATCGGTCAAACTGGTAGAAACTTTAATAAACGAATAGCAGAACATAAAAGGGCTTTCAATAACAGAAAAACAGATTCTACATACGCACTTCACCTTCTAGATCATAATCATTCTTTTAATGAGGAATTTATTTAGGAAAACTGCAGAGTGCACAGTACTTAGGTTGCGAACTAAATGAAGAATGGGATAGAAGTACGGAAATAAAATGGCGTACTGAGATAGCTAGAAGTGCTTTTAATAAGATGAAAGCAATATTATGCAATGGAAGACACAACATTAAAATTAAAAATTTGAGTATTGAGATGCTACGTGTTCTCTGTACTGTTGTATGGAGTTGAGGCCTGGACAATTACAGAGGCGACAGAGAAAAGATTCATTAACTTTGAAATGTTTGACGAAGAATGTCAAACTATAACAGAAAGAAAAAACAGAGCATATCTACAGATGCAACAGAGGCACAGAACCCGACAAGCAGAGGAAGAATATAAACAACTACGTAAAGAAGAAAAGAAAATTCACCGAAGAAAGAAGAGAGAATATATCAACAAAGAACTTCAAGAACTACAAGAACTAAGTAAACCAACAGAGACAAGAAAATTTTACCCGAAACTCAACAAAAGCAGAAAAGAGTTCAAACCGAGAACAACGATGTGTAAAGATAAGGAGGGTAATATATTGACAGAGCAGCAAGAGATACTTAGAAGATGGACAGAACATTTTAAGGAAAAGCTTGGGGTGAATAGGACGGAGATGAACCCTGATATACCATTAGACCAAGCAGACAACAGAGAAAAGAGTCCACCAACAATAGCAGAGATTAGAACAGCAGTGGACAAATTAAAGAACAATAAATCACCGGGATCGGATCAAATATCATCGGAGCTACTGAAAGAAGGAGGAGACGCATTACTTAAAGCCATACATGAGCTGATAAGAAAGATATGGTTGAATAAACAGCTACCAAAGGAGTGGAATAGTGGCATTATTGTACCACTACATAAAAAAGGAAACCAGTTAGAATGTGAAAACTACCGTGGAATCACGCTGTTGAATGCGGCATACAAAATAATGTCCAACGTAATGTATAAAAGACTTAGACCATACGCTGAAAAAATAGTTGGCAAATACCAATGTGGCTTCTGTAGACAGAAGTCAACAATAGACCAGATATTTGTTCTGCGACAGATCTTTGAAAAAACAAGTGAATTTAACATCGACACACATCATCTCTTCATAGACTTCGAAAGCGCATATGACAATATAAACCGAGAATTCCTAACAAAAGCAATGAAAGAATTTAATATATCAACACAGCTAATAGAATTGATAAAAGAAACACTAAAAGTAGAAAGTAAAATCCGGATACAAAACGAATTAACGGAAACAATGGATGTGAAGAAGGGACTACGCCAGGGAGACGCTCTATCATGCATATTATTCAACATCATACTTGAAAAAATAATAAGAGACACAACAGTTAATACCCGAGGAACAATAATTAATAAAAGCGTGCAAGTACTAGCATTTGCAGATGATGTTGACATAATCGTAAGATCAAGAAGAGAAATGATAGAGGCATTCACTCAAATAGAACGATCTGCAAAAAATAGTGGTCTTAAAATCAATCAGACAAAAACAAAATATATGCCTGCAAATAAAAACGCACAAATAAGGCAGCTGCCAAATTTAACAATAGGAGAATACAACATTGAGGCGGTAAAAAACTTTACATACTTAGGATCCCTAGTTACGTCTGATAACAACGTTGCAGAGGAAGTGAAGAGGAGAATATTTATTGCCAATAAATGTTAGCATGGCTTAATTAGCAACTAAGATCAGATAACGTCTCCAGAAAAACAAAATGCCAAATATACAAAACCTTAATAAGACCGGTACTCACATACGGTTCAGAAACCTGGACACTCTCTAAAAGGGAGGAAACGTTATTAGCCACCTTTGAAAGAAAAATCTTGCGACACATATATAAGGGCACAAAAGAAAACGGGATATGGCGGAGAAGGTATAACTTTGAACTATACAACATATACCAGGATCCGGATATCATTAGATTCATTAAAATAGGAAGGCTACGTTGGATTGGACATGTGGAAAGAATGGAAGAGGGCGAAATACCAAACAAAATATTCAAATAAGTGCCAGTAGGAAAAAGAACAAGAGGAAGACCGAAGCTGAGATACGTAGAACAAATAGAAAATGATATAACAACGTTAAAAATTAAAAACTGGAAAAAAAAGCACGAAACAGGTCAGAATGGAGAAGAATCCTTGAACAGGCCAAGACCCAAAAAGGGTTGTCGAGCCAGTGATGATGATGATGATGAACTTTGAAATGTGGTGTTATCGAAGTATGTGGAGAATACTTTGGACAAATGCGGAAACGCTACGAAGAATGGAAAAAGATAAAGAAATACTCAACACTATGCAGAAAAGAAAAATAAGTTACTTTGGTCACATACTAAGAAACGAAAAATACGAATTGATGCGGTTGGTCATACAAGGGAAGGTGGAAGGCAAAAGAGGACCGGGGAGAAGATGCACGTCCTGGTTGAAAAACCTGAGACAATCTAGTGGGAAAACGTCAGTAGAACTTTTCAGAAGGGCTGCCGATAGAGTCAAATGGGCCATGATGATCGCCAACGTCCTTAGGGATGGGGCACGTTAAGAAGAAGAATTGGATTATAAATAGTCCATCTCTTTCTATACTTTTTCTTCTGATTAAAGACTTATCTGGGACTAATTTAACTATTTTATTTTTTGACAACGTAACTATTTAGTTTTTCCTTTCGAAATTGCACCAATACTTCTTGATCTGTTCATCAGTGTCTTGACTGTTATTCTTAAAACCTTCTAAAAGTGAAGTCAGTTTCGATGTGACCGCCATATTATGGTGCCTGTACGTTGCCCACTACTACCCCTCCGTAGGGTTACCAGGTCTATTGATTTTTCGGTAAATCTACTGATTTCAAATTCAATTTACATGTAATGATAAAATTATTGCGGGCAATAAAAGACGCAAAGAACAACAAGGCACCCGGCGAAGATCTAACAACAGCCGAACATTTTAAACACCTGAGTGATGATGCTGTCGGGAAATTAACCTACCTCTTTAACATTATATATGAACATGGCTCTTCCTAAAAAACAAAAGCAAGCAAATGTAAAGACCATCGAACTGTATCCCTAATGAGTCATGCTGCTAAGATTTTTATGCGAGAAATTTATAACCGCATTCACAATAAGTGTGAAGAATTCCTGAGTCGTTCTCAATATGGTTTTAAGAAAGGTACGGGCACCAGAGAAGCAATAATGGAATTGACACTAATGGCAGAAAGGTACCTCGAAGTTCAAAAACAGCTGTATGTGTGCTTTGTCGATTATAGAAAGGCCTTCGACCGCATGAGACATGAAAAATTGATTGAGGTGCTAAAAGAAGTAGGGCTAGACGGACACGACATAGCTATAATAAGCAATACATACTGGAACCAAACAGGATGTGTTCGAACAGACAACGGAAATACCAATTATGTAAACATAGAATGAGGAGTGCGTCAAGGGTGCATTCTGTCCCCTCTTCTATTTAATGTCTATGCCGAAAATATTATCAGAGCTTCTCTTGAAGATCGCCCTGAAGGTGCCAGAGTCAATGGAATCATCATTAACAATGTAAGATATGCCGATGACACCGTAGTATTAGCAGAAACAGAAGACCAACTAAAAATATTGATGAACATACTATCAGAAGAAAGTCACAGACTAGGTTTGGATATTAATCTTTCCAAAACCAAAATCATGGTATTCCACAAGAACCCCCATGAACAAATTACACCCAACATACAAATCAATGGTATCACCCTTCAGAGCTCTCAAAGCTTCATATACCTGGGCAGAGAGCTAAACAGTCAGCTAGACCACTCAAAAGAAATTAGAAGACGTATTGAAATAGCAAGATCTGGCTTCATGAACATGCGTAAAATGCTCTGTAACCCCAAGCTATCAATCACAATAAGGTTAAGAACACTAAAGTGTTATGTGTGGTCTCTACTACTATATGGCTGTGAGACCTGGACAGTAAAACAGTATGACGTCAACAAAATGAATTCGTTCGAAATGGGGATGTACCGCCGAATGCTAAGAATAAGCTGGACCAGCAAAACTACAAATGAAGAGGTACTGGAAATAATGAACATACGACCTCATCTGGTTAATACAATCAAAATTAGAAAGACGTCCTATCTAGGACACATAGTGCGCCATAAGGAATTTGAGCAGCTCCAGGTAATATTAGAAGGCAAAATCGAGGGTAAAAGCGGTATAGGAAGAAAGAAGAAATCCTGTCTCCGAAACATCAGAGATTGGACTCACACAACAGGAAATGACTTAATCCATCAAGCCCAGAACAGAGAGAAATTTGCCATATTGATCGCCAACCTCAATAGAGAAGGCACTTAGGAGGAGGAGGATAAAATTATGTTCAAAAAGTGATCATTATGTCACTGTTCAATAATAAAGTTTGAAAAAAAAATCTATTTATTGCTATATATACATTATTCTCATTCTACTGAAGAAATAAAATATGACTTGGCAAACTATCTGGTGCGGGTTTGGTTTCAGTTAATTCCATATGATTACGCGTCCCCTCTGTTTCCTTGTCTAAGGCAATAACCATTGGAAACTAGTGCGATTCTGTTGATAATATTTTTGAAATTGGATTAAACTTGATAAATTTTTAATATATTTATTAATTATTTTGTTAATATTTGAAGAATTTATATTTTTCAATTACTTACTCAGTCTTATGTTTACTTGCACCTTATTTTTTGGCTCATTAAAATGGTAGTAGATAATGTGTATAGCGGTTGGAATCTGACATATTAAAAAAGCAAATACAATGCCGATCAGCATTATCGTTATTCTCTTTTCGTTTGTCCATGAAGAATTTTCCTGAAAAATATAGAAACGTATATTTATTATACTTGCTTAACAGAAAACGACTATTATATTATATCAAATTAAGGGCCGATTGTTCGAACGCTAATCAAAACTTGATTGTAATCAAATATTTAATTAAAATCAAATTTTGAGGTTAATTTTATGTTTTTATTTAGATTAGACTAGACTTAGAAAAAGAAGAAGAAGGAGAAGAAATAAAAAGAGGTCGCTGGAAATAAATGGAAACAAGTATCCCAAAGTTTAGAAGACAGAAACTGACACAGAATATTAGACATCAATGAACAGTTAAAAGAATGGGAAAACTAAATTTCTGAATTATTTGAAGCTGAGAGAAGAACACTTGGATGAGAGAAAAGAGAGAAAGAGCTGAGAGAAAAAATGGAAAAGCACTTGGCCCCGATGAAGTAAGCGGTGAAATACTAAAGTTTTTGGGAGAAAATGGAATTAAAGCTCTGGAATTATAAATACATATATCCGTAGACATCGTACCCTCTTACTATACTAGCACTACTGAGATAAAGACTGTCATAAAGGTTGATCATCTAATATTAGACCAAGACAAGCCTCATGATAGCATTTCAAGCAAGAACCTCAAAGGCGCATGTCCAGCTGATTTTCAGTGTCACACAATGAACAATACCAAGATTCCTGTAAAGGTTTATATGTTGAAGGTTCGCTCATTAACATGCTTTTATTTTCTTGCATTGCTTGTGTGGAAAATAGATCCTTCGTGACATTTTTCAATCTAGTCCTTGTCCTGGGATTAGAAATTCTTTTATTCAAAGTTTGTGAAAGAGCAACTTTTTTCTTTTCGTTTTCCAATTCTTTCTTTTGGATGCGCTTTTCTTTCCGCTGCACTTTTAGCTGCATTTCTTGTTTTTCCTTTTCTTCTTTTTTCTTGTAATATTGTTGCCACTGAGATGAAGTTGCTACAGCAGGTACCTTATCCTTTATTACTTTACGCTTAGCAATATTTTCCTTAGGTGTAAATATAAAAATAAAAAATAAAATTTTTTTAAACGGAGTTGGAGTAAAATTGTGTTGGTCTAAATTCGAACTTGTCTCAGTATTAGAATCTGAATGATTCATGGATGGGTGTAACTTGGGAAGTTTCACCTCACCGGCCAATAGTGACACGCGGCAGAATCAAGACCTGGCACAGCGAGAACAAAAAGAATATTAGAAACAGCAGGGATGAAAAATAAAATTGATGGTAAAACACTATGGGGCAGAGTTAGAAGTATAGATATTCGACATAGATGCAAGGTGGAGAACATGAAGAACTGAGTAAGAAATAAAAGAGTAGAATGGAACGATCATATAAGCCGAATGACAACAAATAGTAAAGATGGCAAGAGACGGATCCCCAATAGAAAGACGATCAGTTGGAAGACCACGAAAACGATGGAACGACAACTTACTGTAGGTACGTTGAAAGAAACTTTTTAGGTCCAAAATGGTTCGAAATTATGTTAGAAAAACGAACTGAAGAGCGTATTCAGCAGAAATATTTGAAGAAGTATTGATAGAAATTAGGGTAGGACGCATAAAAAACCTATAGGACAAGAAAAAATACAAAATATCGTTTAACACAATAATGGATCGCTTAAAAGGTAAAGATGATATAATTAGTAAATAACTTGGCAGAAGAACAACATTTCTGAAAGACGTGGAAGGGACTTGCTGATGAACTCAAGATAATGGAAAAGTATGGATTTTGATTGTTCAGAAAAGAGATGTTGGAGCTGGTTGGGCAGTTTCTAAAATCCAACAAATTACAAAACTTCTTTTAAAGACAATTACCCTGGAGAAGATTGATTCTGGTTGAATTTGCTGTTTCTGATATTGAATATTTATAGGTTAACCATTAACAGTAGCAGTATAAAAAGAAACACTCATGGATAAATCTGGTGGAGTACTCATTTTAATTTTTAAAACTGTATATTTTAATTTTTAAATAGTTTATTAATAGTATATCCACTTGATACACGATAATGGCGGTAAAAAACGCGGCCGGAGCCCGTTTTTAATCACCACTATAAACTTTCGCCTAATTCGTATTGATGTTTACAGGTCGAGAGTCAAATGAATACTGTAGTCTAGAGTTAAAGGGATATAAGTAAAATAAAAACAAATAAAACTTACATGAGAGTTTGTCATCACTCTGCGGGTCTTCTGCGACGAATAAACTACTCTAATTAAAAAACAGTTAAACATTGCTATCAAAAGCAACGGTATTATAGCAAAAAACAGTGCACTATACCAATATATAAAGTCTGTATAAGTTTTGTTCTTTCCTAATTCTGTATTCTCCACATCGATTGTGAAGTTTTTTTCACAACAATAAGTAGTATTCTCAGATTCTTCAAGACTTCTTACATGGTGACTACCAGTGGCGATTGGGCTATTGCTATTTTTCTCTAATACTTGATTTAGGTCTGTTTCTAAGGACATGTTGATTGTATCCACACTAGTTGTAGAATTCAAAACATTAGGATAAACAGGAACCAAAATAATATGCGGATGGTTAGTACAATTGGAGAGGATTTGTTTCAACTTTTTCTGAATATATTTATCATACCCTTTGATAACAACTGAGCTTATATTAGCATCCGCATCAAGGCTGCTAGCTTCAGACTGAACATAAGTAATGTTACTAACGCTGGTAGATTCTAAATGAGGCGATTCTGTATAGTTCAATTGATCAATGGAACATTGTTTGATACAAATGTCATTAAACGTGAGTTGGTACTCAAACGTCGTCGATGCTGTGGTAACAAAGCAAAAAACGTAGACTATTGCGATGATTCCTTTTGCTCTACGTTCAGTACAAAAAATTTTTCCTTTCATCGGATAACGAACAGCGATGAAGCGTTCTATGGTAAATGAAACTGCTAACCATGCTGATGTTGCACCTAAAAAACAAATACACGTTACAAATAATCAATTAAACCATAATAAAAACTATGTTTGTTAATAAATGTATAAGGTGATTATAAACAATATTTAGGTTATAGGACACCAACATGTCAAATAACACAATTATTTGACAGATCATTATTATCCAGCTGGAGTTTCTATTTTTCTCTGGAATCTTTTAGTTTTTTTGCTGATGTTTCTCTACAGGTGCAATTAATATTATTATAATCTGTAATATTTAAAATACTTTCGGGTTTTAAGCATTGCACATTTACAGTTTTTCTGTAAAAAGACGAATTAGTGGCTGTTGGGGAAGAGTATCTAAACGACAGAAACAGATGATCAACGGTGGAGACCATTTGCTACAACACATACCTTCTAGAAGAAAGTGCTTTAGATGTTCACAAAATAAATCAGAAACTCTTTTTTACCACATCATTTATAAGAACTAATGTTTTTTTTTGTGTAATGTATTTTTTTTTATTTTGAATATAAATTTGTAGGTAGACTTTACGGGAAAATTATCAAGGAGAAGCTAGAAACTGAAATAATAGGAAAAATTGGAGAAGACCAAGCAGGGTTCACAGTAGGAAAATCATGCCTAGATCATACGTACACATTAGAACAACTGATAGAGAAGAAATGGCAAAAGGTAGACCGGTCCATCTGGCGTTTGTTGATCTAAAGAAAGCATACGACTCAATACCTAAAGTCAAATTATGGGAAGCAATGAATGATCTCGGAATCCGACAAACACTAATAAAAGCAGTTAAAGCACTGTACAAAGAAAACAAAGTAGCTATTAAATATGGAAATAAAGCCTACAATCATTTAAGACGACAAAAGGACTTCTACAAGGCTGTGCTACGTCCCCTACTCTATTTAAAATATTCTTGGAAAAGACACTCAACCATGGAGGAGAAAGTGCAAAGGAATGGGCATACCAGTAAGAGACGAATACCCTATACACCTTAAGTTTTGCCGACGATCAAGTAGTCATCGCACAAGATGAAGAAGATCTCAGCTTTATGCTCAGAAAACTAGAAGAAGAATATAAAAAACAACGGAATGCAATAAACTTAGAGAAAACCGAATACCTAACAACAGAAACAAGGATATGAGAAACCTAGAGATAGACGAGGGAAGACAAGTAAATGGAACAGATAAATTCAAGTATTTATTAATCATAATATCGAACCAGGGAACAACAGAAGAAGATATAAACAACAGACTAAGACAAACAAGAAACTGTAAAAGACAACTAAATTCAGTGCTGTGGGATAAGAACATTACGATAAAGACAAAAAAGAGAATATATAATACCCTGACAAGAAGTATCCTGACATATGGGTCCTAAAACTGGACAATAAACAAGACAAATAGAGGTAGAATAAGAGCAGTAGAAATGGAGTTCCTGAGGAGAAGCTGTAGACTTACAAAAAGAGACAGAATTGAAAACGCAGAGATTAAGCGGAGAATGGGAGTGCAATCAGACATAATCGACTATATAGAGGAGAAGAGACTATCCTGGTACGGCCACGTCAGAAGAGCGGACAGAGGACGCTGGATAAACAAAATCACAGGCTATGGAGAAAAAAACCCTGCGAGATGGAGACGAAATCGACGAGGCTATGGAGAAAAGAACCCTGCGAGATGGAGACTGGAATGACAGGGAAAATTGGAGAAAACGGTTGAGTGAAGGAAGACAGTGAAAACTGTGGAAATCCTTAGTAGTAGTGGTATATAAATTTGTTTCTATACTGATGGGATTTATTTATCCCACCATTCAACACTAATGGGACATATTATGTCCCATGACCTTTCTAAGGATACAAGGAACCGAAAAATTATAAAAAAATCAGTCTCTTTTGTTAGGTCTCTAGGTATGAATGTAATTTTAAACAGTTTTATTTAGCTACAATGAAATCAGTACTGAAAGGGTTAAAGAGAAATGGATTAAATTCTATACAGTTTGCCGTTGACTAGGTCAACATATTATCAAATAGCCAGAGAGATCTTGAATATATTACGAGAAGAAGATAAAAAATGTGCTCTGGAAAAATACAATCTAGAAAGCAGTGTTCAAAAGACTTTCCAGTAGGAGCTGAACGGGAGATCATCGGGCTATAAACAGAATAAATACGAGAATATTGTGACTAGACATACCTAGAATTTGAATTTGATACAACAAGGAAAAACGACGGAGGAATCAGAAAACCAATAGCACAAACCATGTGGTTGAGCTTTGATATTGGGAAACAAGGAAAATAAAAAAATGTACAAAACCTTTTTCAAAAGTAATCTAACCTATGATGAAGAGACATGGATTTGTTTTCAGACATGTAGTGTAAAAGGAGGGGGTGGTTCAGTAACAACAGATATTGAGACTGGTAGGAATATGTCCAAAGAATGGACGAAAATAGACTTCCTAATTGTCCATGCAATGTATGTATCTAAAATTCATAAAGAAATAGTGGATGCTGAGGCCATATTTTTTTGTGAGAGAGAATAGGATCAGAAATATTAATCCGATCTAATTCTAAATAATTGTTTCAAGTTTTATTATACACATACTTACTTGCTGCATCGCAAAACCAGTGCGTTAGTCCATAAAACCTCCAGTACAATTCATATTTTCTATCGTGAATATTATGGTAATGTTCAAATGATAATAAAAATCCGAACACAAGATGAATGATGTCTGCCACAGCTAGCGCTGAGAGATATATGTTTGTGGAACTTCTCATTCGACGCCTAAAAATAATAATGACCTATGAAATAACTTTTTTTATATCTTAATATTATTTTTATATCGACAAGCTTTAACGAATCTTTAAAACAATCTTAACTATGGAAAATGGAAAATAGTTTACACCTATAAACAGATAGCCAAGCAGCCATGGAGGCATTTATATGCCCTAACGTGGACTCTGGGCTAGTGTGGGAATGTCTAGAAGAACTCGACAGACAGGAGACAGGTAGAACATAACTGTGACACACTGGTATAGTCACCAGGGAATACTCGGTGATGAGAGAGCTGATGCACTTACCAGAAGAGCATCAGCTACAAACTTCTTCGGTTCAGAGTAAGTCGTGTAAAAAGTATCTTCGGCGATCGAAAAAAACGGAGGCCTAATATAAGAATAAGTGGCGTATTTTGCAGATTTCCCTTAATGTAAAGTTGTTAATATGATATGAAAATGACCTTTTTCTATTTTTAAAACTTGATGTATTTAATTGCTTCATATGCGAGTTAAGTTTCAAAAGAAGAAAAAAATAAGTCGGTACCTGTTCATTAGTGTACATAAATAATAATGATCAAAATAATTACGTTTCTACTCCACAAATCATTTCTCGATTTATCCAGGTTATAAATAAGTTAATAGTAAATAACAGGTTTACTAACCTTGTGAGCACCATAATGGTGACGGTGTTGCCAATTACTCCCAGGCATAGTAGAGTTGGCACTAGTACTTTTTGCACCCAAAATCTGGAATTGTTTAAAATCGTTTGAGAAAGCGCTTCATCATCATCCATTTTCACCACCTGAAAGAAGAATATTCTTTATTTTGTTATTTGAATTTTAAAATTGTTTGTCGTATATTTATTTTGATTAATTTTGTGTATTTTTTGTATATATTTAGTAGAAATAAAAACGAGACCTCCTATAAATTGCTTTTCTTAAAATCTAAAAATCTTAAAGTAGTTTTCAGGAGGGTGGTGTATATTGTAATAATAAGAAAAAATCTACTTGGACAGGACTAGAAAAAATTTTCATCGAACTGGACAAGATACCTTTACAAACTGATAACATAAGATAGCTAAATGAAGAATTGAATACTAAGAATCAAAATAGTGAAAATGTCCCTCTAAACCACTAAGACTCATACGAGCAAGCTGAATTTTGATGAGAATATGTCAATTTAGGACCCTAAAGATGCAAGGTACCCTAAAGTCTGTATAATGGAACGACTGCAAAAATTAAAACTGGATCAAGGATATCTAAGGGATTTAAGGTCACGAAAGGACTAAAGCAGGGTTGCTGTATTTCGCCTATCCTTTTCAAAATTTATCTGGAACAAGCATTCAAGCTGTGGAAAAGAAAATCTAATGGCATGGGAATTGCTCTCAATGACGAGACTACCCTGTTTTCGCTGATGACCAAATACTGATTGCTCAGGATCATGACGACTTGAGTTACATGACTCGGAAGCTAATAGAAGAATATAACAAATGGGGTCTCGAAGTCAACATTAAGAAAACTGAAGCCATGTGTATTGGAGGGACAAATCAGTCCATTATATTAGACGATGGGGTAGAAATTAGACAATGTGATGAATACAAGTAACTGGGTATGAAGATAACTCAAGATGGAACACTCGATGATGCTATAGAATACAGAAACATACAGGGTAGAAAAGCCATATCCATGACGAACGGCATTCTGTGGGACCAAACACTATCTAAAGCGAACAAACAACTCATATACAACGCTATACTTAAAAGTGTAATCACATATGGCATTAAAGTTTGGCCAATGAAACAAAGAACAGAGAAACTGTTACTAGCAACAGAAATGGACTTCTGCAGAAGAGCAGCAGGCAAATCAAGAAGAAATCGGATACCAAATGAGAGAATACGAGAAATGATGAGAGTCAGGCATACAATAGTTGATGACATAAATACAAAACAGTTAATATGGTACGGCCATGTACAGAGATTACGAGATGAGAGGATTCCGAAACAGATTTTGAGGTGGACACCACAAGGGAAGAAAAAGACGAAGGCCGAGAAGAATCTGGGGAGAGGGAATTGAAAGAGAACTAGAAGAAAGAGAAATCCCTCCAGGCCTATGGCTAAATAGAGAAGAATGGCGGTTAGAAGTCGGAGGGCGTCAGAGAACGCTGTAAACCAATAGTAGTAGTAGTAAATAATATCAAACCGCTTTGACATTATTTTAACAATAATTTTGTATAAATATACAGAAAAACCACTGGGCCGATAATTCGCCCCACCTGGTCCTATACAAAAATAGGTGTTTATTTATACCTTATATGTATTTTAAAACTGACTTGGTATTGGGAAGGTTAAGGAACCACTGGTTATTTATTAGCGACCAAATTTCCGGTTACATTCCTGTCAGTCAACGAGACTGTTCACAGAGAAAGTTGTAAAGAACATTTTACAATAATAATTGGCATTGTTTGTCAGCATTTTCGTAAAATTTTCAATTTCAAAGCAATTACTTAGAGATTTACAAATAAAATACGATTTACGATCGAAATATTTCCGAAAGTAATAAAAGATCAAAAGCTTCGGTGTGTTTCTGCTTGTGAATTGTTAAAATACCAAACATATTGTTAGATTGCTTCGAAAAGTGCATAATTTTAATTGATGATTAAATTTTTAAAATTTTAATTAGTTTTTTTGAAATCCTAATCCACAAATAAAAAAAAACACCATTATTATTACACTTTTTTCAATAAAAACCTGAAATACTTTTTTGTGAATACATACCATTGGATTTGAACATTTATTTACAAATCAAGGTCCCTATGCCCTGAAAATTAATCTGTCAATTTGACTGTTGTATTAAGGCAAAAGTTTATAGCGCATCAATTCGTACGATTAACTGCTTAAAAAGAAAAAAATAAGGTTACTACACTCAATAATACTCATAAATGACTCTGTGAGGTCCAGTGGCGGCTCGTGACATCTGCTATAGGGTGTGCTGCATGAACCACGGTCAATATAAAATAATAGAAATAGAATAACATACGAAAACAAAAACAATAAAATTAGCTTTAATACTAATTAATAGTAACTAATAACGACATGCTATAAAAATCTGATTAACTTACATTTATTGCATTTTTCTAAATTGGAAATTAATACGCCGGTCCTTTTTTGTCGCAAACTTTTCGATTACTTTATCGTTAAAGTTCGGTATTGAAGCGATGAACTTTTTTTCTATCGAGAGTGTGGAAAGGGCTGTTAATCTGTCTTCGCACATTGAATTTCTTAAAAATGTTTTGATCCGTTTTAAAGTTGAAAAACTACGTTCAGCTTCTGCTGTGGTCATTGGCGTAGTCACCAGAATTTGTATCAACTTTTTGGTTTCTGTTAATGTGTCCTCTAAATTATTAGAAATTATAAATTTTAGTAAAGGCACTGCACCTTTTAATGTTCTACACTCGATATTGGAATACAAAACTGACAGTTCTGTTCGCAAACGGTTTTTATCAAAGAAGTTATAAGCTGTACAAGTTAAATCCAATTCATTTTCAGGAAACTTATTATTATATTTTTCGAAATGTTCTGAAGATAAAAGTGTTGCGGCAACTAGATGATTTGTATATGCAAACCGTTCTTTTGCATTGTTTATAATAACATCACAAACTTCTAGACAGGCAATACGGTGATCCTGTTGGCTGTTATTTGGGCGTTTCCTTTTTTGGACACTAGGCGCCGCATTTAAATTTGAAGCTTGATGTATGATAGGGTCTATTTTATTTCGGACATTGTTAATACTTTGCTCAAAAACATGTATAGCTTTCTGTGCTTCGGTTGGGTCCATGTTCTTTTTTTGAAGATTATTGTACAAAACGTCAACATGTGGCATAATATAATGAAAAACAGTCAGCCAGAAAGTAAAATTTTGATCTTCCAGAATACGTCTAAGTCCTCTTGCTTCCTTGGAAGTAATAGCATTTGACTCTTCTTCTAGTTGCTCCATACACTCAATAATAAAGTCTCTATATTCGTAAACGACATTTACTGTACGAATATTGAAATTCCAGCGTGTAGGGATTGAACGAGGAATATTTTTTCCAACTATTTGATTTAAGACAGCTATTCTTTGAGGTGAATGACTAAAAAATCCAGGTATATCATGTAAATCTCCAAAAAATACGCGTACTTGGGAATTAATAGAACATGCTCTTGACATTATTAGATTCAATTGATGGGCGTAACAGTGCACAAAATGAGCAGTTTCATATTTTCTCTTAATTATTGTTTGCACTCCGCCATGTATCCCACTCATAACAGCTGCTCCGTCATAACTTTGTGCAATGAGCTTATTTTTGTTATTCTTTAATATTGGGTCTAAAACATTCAAAATTGTGTTAGCTAAGGTTTCAGCATCATGTTTTTCTGGAAGCAAAAAAGTCCAAAACCTTTCAACTGGAGCACCGTTTTTTACATAACGAAAAACAATGACCATTTGAAATTTCATAGAAACATCCGTTGTCTCATCAGCTATCACTGCTAAAAATGGGGCTTCATTGATTTCGTTTAAAATCTCCTCAGCGTATACTTCTAGCATGCAATCCAAAATATCATTTTGTATTGTTTTTGAGGTACCTTTGAAAATTGTCGCATTTGTAAGGTGTTCACTAAGTGTTTTATCAAGTTCAGCAGAAAAATTCACTAAACCACGAAAAATTCCAGGGTTATCTGATGTTTCAGATTCATCGTGTCCTCGTAAGGCGAGCTCAAAAGCCCCACAGAATTTTATACAGTCAATTATTTTTGACAAAACATACCTGTTTTTCGTCACCTCTTCATTGTGTTTTTGTATATTTATCCAATAAGCAGAGTCAAGTTGGGCCTGTATATTAAGTTTCCCAAATAATGCAAATCGCATTTCATTGTTCATATGAGTTTGCGTGTTTTCATGCTTCTTTATTTTTTCACTTAAATGCACTAGATCCCGCACTCCTGTCTCGCGCCACAATTTTTCCTCTTTATCTGCGCCGAATAATGCACACGGAAAACAGAAAAAAGCATTTTTTTTCGGAACATCCACAAATCCACTGATTTCGTAGATACATGTCTTTATTAAATTTACGCGTATATGTTTTTCCACGGCTTTTACCGGACACTTCAATATTAAGATCAGGCATAGGACGGCCACGTTCTTTTATAATCAACTGTTGTTGATAGTGAAGTTTTTGAAATTTATTTACACCTAATTTAAATTGAAACTCCATTGTTTTAAACACGCTCGAACAAAACAAATTAAACAAAATTGTAACCTAAGAATTTCTAAACACGGCACAGATGCAACGGTCACGAATAACTGTCGTGAATTGCAGCTCGCAAACACATTTCCGAGGCCGTTAATCAGCCGATTGCCGAAGCACATCGGCTAAGATCGCCGTTTGCCTAATAAATGCATTTTACCGCTGCCAGTGTTTCGGTTGTTATCGACGCGGCTTCACTGGAGCAGCAAATACGTAAAAAGATTGCTTCACTGGAGCACCAAATACGTAAAAAAATTATACGGTTTCACTAGAGGAGTAAATACGTAAAAAAAATAATATTAATCATCGTTGTTGGTGAATTATTATTAACAGTTTATGTTTAATATGATAATATGGCAGATTTGAAATAAAACTATATTAATTATTCTTTAATAATTAAGATTTGCTATGGTTGTTTGGTAGTTCTGCAGCTCAGCAGCACATAAAGAAAAGCCGCCACTGGTGAGGTCTCACTACACTACTATATGTGACCAGAAATAGATTATATAAAGCTGGTCT